CCACTTCTATGGGTTGCGTGGCCATTTACCCATTTTTATTCGCAATTTTTTACTGAACAGTCGATTCCAAGTCCGTGTGGGTTTCACTCTTTCCCGTTCCTTCCCACAGGAACTTGGAGTCCCCAGGGCTGTGCCTTGAGTGTCACACTTTTTAGTGTTAAAATTAATGCCATCACTACAAATCTTCCTCCGACTGTTGCAAATGGGCTCTATGTTGACTTCCACATCTTGTGTCAGTCGTCGAACATGAGGGTTATTGAGCAGCAGCTTCAGACTGCCCTCAATCGGTTGTTGACATGGACCACTGTAAATGGTTTTAAATTTACTTTTTCCAAAACCGTTTGCATGCATTTTTGCCACCAATGGGGTCTCCATTCCGATCCCGAGCTCCGTCTCGGCGATATAATTATTCGTGTGGTCCCTGAGGCAAAGTTCTTGGGGCTTATCTTTGACCGTAAGCTTAGCTTCATTCCACACATCAAGCAGCTACGTGTCAAGTGTGCAAGGGCTCTGAACATCCTCCATGTCCTCACTTCCAGCTCTTAGGGAGTGGGTCGATGTTCTATGCTCAGGATCTATCATGCTCTGATTCGATCCAAACTAAACTATGGATCTTTGATCTATGGTTCTGCTAGGACCTCGGCCCTGAAGATGCTGGACCCCATTCACCATCTGGGGCTTTGGCTCTGCACCAGAGCTTTTTGCACTTCACCAGTCCAGAGTTTGTACACTGAGTCCCATGAACCTTCTCTTCACCTTCATCGTTTGCAACTTTCTTTACAATATGCTACTAAGCTTCGATCCTTACCACGGCATCCAACCTGGGATTGTGTTTTTCTTCCTCGGTGAGCAATGCTCTTTCAGAAAAGACGATCTGCTATTCCTCCGTTTGGCCTTCGTATTCGGGCACTATTGGCTGAATTGGGTCTGGAATTGGATGACATTGCTGTCCCCAATGATCAGCCCATTCCACCATGGCTTATTACCATTCCATCCTGTGACCTTTCCTTGAGTCATCTGGGGAAGGCGGATACTCCCGATTGGAAGAACCGTCTTCTTTTAGCTGAACATCTTTCGAACCATTCTTCTCTTCCCATTTACACGGATGGTTCGAAATCGGGTGACTCTGTAGGTTCTGCCATGGTTAGCTGTGGCTCGGTAGTTGCTCGCAGGATCCCCTCTACAGTTTCTGTGCTCACTGCCGAGTTGTAGAAGCTCATGTAGAAGCTATGCAGTACAGTAATTGTACTATTTACACTGATTCT